CCACATACTGCATGGTTCCATTTTTGTGAAATGTCCCACGCAAGTCCATACAGACATCAAGTAGATAAGTGGTTGCGGGGTGAGGAGGAAGACTATTAATGGGTATGGATTTCTTTGGGGGATGATGAAATGTTCTAAAATTAATTATGGTGATGGTTGCACACTATGAATATACTAAAAAACATCAAATTGTATATTGTAAATAGGTGAATTATATGAAATGTGAATTATATCTCAATAATGCTGTTATAAAAAATAAGTAACTGAATAAAGTATGTTACATTCACACAATGGAATACTACCCAGCTATAACACAGAATGAGAAAACTCCTTTAAGAAAAAAATTCCAGTGAACAACCATTCAGAAAGTTTGGGAGTGGGGCCTCAGGTAAGGAAAAGTTTTAAAAGACCCCTGTGTGATTCTAATGTAAGCCAAAAAGAGTCAGTGGATTCAGGGCAGATTTAGTCAAGTGATGAGCAGTTACGAAACAGTATGGCAACTGCTCCCTCCAAAAGAAGTAGGCACAGAATGCCATGTGCGTTTTCCAACTGGAGGCGGCAGAGCAAGGGTTCCTACAGGTGACATCCATACTAAAATGTGATGGATGAGTGGGGACTAGCCAGGTGCACGTGAGTGAGGAGGAAGACATAAAGAGAACAGAAGATTTTGCAAAACCTGGGAAGCAGGAGCACATTATGCATGGCCCTGGGGATACAGGTGGGGAATTGAATTTATTTCAACCTGTCCTGTCGGGAACACACAGAGCCTAGTGATGCGGTATGAGCTGGAGGTGATTCATAGAAGATCAAGCAAATCAGGTTAAAAAATGTGAAATATTCATTGATGAATAAAGCACTGACAAACTTTAGGTAAAGTTTCATGAGTTTTAATACATTTTAATAACATGATCATATATGTGAAAAAACAGTACATATAAGATGCAAGATATTTACCTTGCAGTGTTTGTTTTGTTTATAGGTTTGTGATCTCCATGCAATATATGCAAGGTGAAAACAAGCAGAATAGGTGCTTTTCATGGATTTAAATACCTAGGATTTCTATTGCTTCATCATAAATTGAAGACAGTATTACAGTACTGTGGATCGAAAAGCAGGAAACCAAATGCCACATTCCAACTACTTTTTTCACAGAACATTCTAACAGAATGTAACCAAATATAATTGTTTCTATTCTCTTTTTAATTGAGCACATACTATGGATAGGATGCCAGGTTTAGTGATATGAGGGAGAGACAAGTGAATGGGTACTTGCCCTGCCTTCAAGGCATTTACAATCTAGTGAGGGAGGCAATACATTTGCATAAATAACCCAGGAAGCACTGTGGTTGAGGAATGTCGGGAGTGAGTATGAAAGAAACAAAAAGGCTGAGGGAAAGAAAGAAACCAACATACTCAGTGATCAGAAACTGAACTGGGGATTGTGTGTGTATGTGTGTGTTTAATGCTGTGAGACACTGAGTTCAGAGAGATTATTCTGGTGGAATTGGTTTGAGTTCAGCCTTGAAAGATGGGGTTTCACAGGAAGCAACCATGAAAGAGCTATCTAGGCAACAGGGGTGTATGGCAAAGGCAAAATGCTGTTGTTGAATACAGTTCAGGCTGCCAGGCCACAGGGCTGGGGAATGATGGGTGAAGGCAGACCCGAGCCCAGGCTGCTCCTGACGTTAGGCTAAGGAGTCTACCTTAAAAGGGGAGAGAAAGAACCTGGAGTTTGAGTCTCAGGGCCACCTTGTATTAGTTGTAAAGTTGCCGTGAGTTTAACTTTTCCCAGCCTCATCTAGAAATTGGAGGGCAGATAATCACAGTGGCTGCTTTGGCGTTGCTCTGAGGAGTAAACACAATTTAATTCATGTACAGCACTCATGACAGCACGTGGCACAAGAAGGCCAGCAGCTCCTGCTGCCGTTATTAACATTATTATTAACTGTATAAGCCACTCAAGACTTTCTAGCAATATAACAACAGGACCTAAGGAATTCACCTGACTGTGATAGGAAGGAGCGGCTGAGGGCGGCAAGTCTGTCTGTTGGCAGTGTTAGGACTGACTGAGTGCAGAAGTCCCTAAGACCCTGAGCAAAGACAGTGCAGGGGCAACGGGAAGGCATGGATGTGACAGACACTGCGGAGGAGAGAGACAAGAGATGGGGGGGGCATTAACGTGGTCTGACCAGTGGTCACTGGGAGGTCAAGGACGTTTCCAGAGAAGGGGGCTAAAAAGCTGATGAATAAGATGTAGACAGGAAAGGAATGCCCAGGGAACTATAAACAACTCTCAACTATGAAGGCTCCTTCAACTTAACAGCTTCCATGTTTCTTGGGGCCCCACAGACCAACCATTTCTGTGGACATTCTGGGTTGGATCCTCCAACCCTCCCTGGAGTACTCCTGAAATGGAATTGACAGATAAGAAAATGTAGCACTGCCAAGAGGCACAGTTTAAATAAAACCGTGGGTTATCCAGGCCCTCATGCAAGGACAAATGTTACACTACCCCTGAAACTGGAATGAAGTAGAAGAAAAAAGGGATCTCGAATTCCTTCCCATCCTCTGTTTTGTCATTAGCCCTTTAGGTGGTAACATGACAAACTTACCCAATTTCTTGCCCTCAGTTTCACTGCAAAAGAACAAAAAGTGGAAATGTAGTTATTTTGCTAAAAGGTTGTTGCAGAAGCTTCTGGAACTGGTAGTGGTTTCTAACTCTCCATTCTACATGTGAGAATCAAGGAACCAGCTGGTCTTCCAGTACCTTCCTTAAGAGGCAGAAAGCATTACTGAGTTCAAAGTTCAGTTACCACAGTGGGTAAAAAACCCTTCAGATTTCTCTTTAGATTTAGGTGAAAGTAAATTTAACTCTAGGTGAAAGGATAATTTCCTTTCCTCCTGCATTAAAAGTGCCCCATCGACCAGGCCCACAAACCATAAACTCAATCAAAAAAATCAATGGCAGTAAGAGTCTCAACAATTCAAAAAATAGTAGACATTTTATAGCCCAACTTCAGACCATTTTAATATTCTGTATCATTAGACTCTATCATAATGAGTTAACATCTAATTAAGTAGTGGAAGCAGGAGACACTTCAGTATAGCAGAAGGAGCTAAAGATTCACAGTCAGAACTATTAAAATCTAGCTCAGCAATTTACTATTGACCCTGGGCTGGTTCCTGGACCTAGGCTGCAATTTCTTCATCTATAAAGTGGAGATAACCTCACAGCACTGTCATCAAGATGGTGAAGCCTATGGCAGCCTTGTATTATCTATCTGGCCTATGGCATAATTATTAGTTATTATTGAAACTAAATCTCAATAATGATAAAGCAACAAATCTTCTGGCTAAGCAATAGCTTTGGTTACGAATAATGCTAAATGTCTATTAGCTGTAATGGTGAAAACCAAATTTTAGTTTCTTGGAAGCAGCCCAGCACAATAGAAAAGAGTTGGAATTCTAGTTCTGCCAGGATAATCCTGGGAAAATTGGTGAACCTGCTGGAGCCTCAATTTCCCATCTGGTTAGAAATACCCAGCTAATAAGACTACTGTAATGTTTAATGAGGTGAACTATACAAAGTTCCTAGTATATATCCAGCTCCAGTCTGTGCTCAATTAATAGTAATTATTGGTATCAGTTCAATTTCTCAATAGGAAAAAAAAGGATAAATAAACATGGAAATCAAAATCAGCTATAAGATCATCTTTCTTCATATTTCACAGATAAGTTTCCACTATTCAATCTATCAATATTTCTTTTGCACCTATTGTGTGTCAGGCACTGTTGTTGACACTGGGGATGGAGTCATGGACAAGACAGGTAAGGCTCTCTGCTTTCTGCAACATCCATTCTTGTAGGGGAAAGCAGACAACAAACAGCCCAAGGAGATAATCTCAGAGAGAGATGGGTGCTGCGAGGAACACCAAACAGGGTGGTGTGCTAGCATGTTGGTGGAGGGGATGATCTTTCAGGTTGCGTGCATTTCGGCCCAAGTCTGCCTAACTGGTCTCCTCGGCCCAAAAGAGGGAGCCTCACCTTTTACGATCCTTGAGGGTAGAGTGAGGATGAGCAGGAGTCGAGCCTATACCTTTACCTGTCTGGGAATAAATGTCTTTTGCAGCTGCAGATTAAAATATTTCTAAATGCCCTCATCCCAGTACTCAAACTATGAGTCAGAGCAATATCGCGGGGGGGGTTGGGGTGGGGGTTCAGATGCACCTCGGCGCGGTCCCCAGACACATCGAAAGCGACAACTTCACAGCTCCTTCGGCTCAGAGTCCCGACTAAGGAGGAGACTGGTAGTTTGTGAGACGGAGGAGGGAGAGTACAAGTGTGCAGAGTGGCTGGCATTACCGAAAGAGGGCGGAGGGCCCCGGCTTAAGAAATATTGTGACGATCTACAACAATGCCCGTCAGTGACTCTAGAGGCTGCAAACGCTTCCAAGGGCGCTGGGAAGCCCGAAGGGGCGAGTGCCCTCAGCCACCAGCGGGGGCACTGGGGAGCAGAGCAGACCCGGCATGTGGAAGCGGGCGAGTCCGGAGCCTTCAAGGCCAGCGTCGCCCGGGTCCTCCCGCTGCACCCCATCCCGCGGATGTGGTGAAGCCTCGCGCTCGACCCAATTAAGCTGGTTTCCTGTGCCTCCTGCCCCGGAGTCGCTGCCCAGGACAGCCCCTCGGTGCCGCATTCTCCCGCGCCTCCAACCCAGGCTCGACGCCTTTTCGCCAAATCCCAGCCAAACCGCCCCTCTGAGACTCGAGCCCCAAGGTGGGCAGAACTCGGGCCTTATTTAACTCCGGGGAGGCCGGCACCGAGGGCAATCTCCCCGACTCGGGGCTGCCCTACTACCCGGTTATTCCCTGGGCGACAGCAAGCGGACTCCGATCCTGCGGAGACTGGTGGCGCCCCTCAAACTGCAGCCTTTCCGAGCCCGCACCACCGCCGGGCTCCCACGACACCCCAACACCATTCCGGCGAGAGTCCCAGCGCTTACCTGAGGCTCTGCCGCCAAGGACGCCGCCTAGTTCCCCAGTGCCCGGCTCCGGGGTTTGTCCACAGATGCGGAAGGAGGCAAAGCCGGCTTCCCCGGTCCCCCGGCAACGCGCAGCTGACAGTTCCCGCACCAGCAGCAGGAGACTGGGTTGGGCACAGCTAGTCACGGACGACTCGCCGGACCAGAGCCCGCGCGGCGCACGAGTCGCCTCGCGCTCGGCTCGCCTTGTCCCGCCCCGCTTGCCGGCGCTGCTATCGCTGGGCCGGTTTCCAGGACTTTGCCCAGAACTTCTCCGAGCGCGCCGCCCGGCGATTAGCCGGAGAGGGGAGCGGGGGCGGGAGCTAGGAGGAAGAGACTGCGCCCGCCCTGGGGCGGGCCCACGTGGGGAAGGCGGGAGGGTAGGCAGAGTGACCCATACTTCCACCAATCAGGAGTAGCTCCCGGGGAAGGAGGTGGGGCGATGCACTTGAAAGAAGCGGACGGATTCCATGACGCAGTCTGCAGAGTTGAGAACCCTAGTGCCCCGCAGGTGCGAAAGGGGGATGAGAGCTGCACCTGGTCTGGGTAAGAGAGGTTCCCGGCTTCCCAGCACGCTACTTACTTGCCGTTGGCGCTCAGTAACTCTTCGTGGAGCGGCGTTTCCGGGCCAGGGAGGGAGAAAGAAATGAGGGCAGCTTAGGAGGGGCTGATTTAAGAACAAGGTTTCTGGAGACACACTAGTGAAACTGGCAGAGGATTCAGTTCTTGAGGAACTCAGACCGAGGCAAATGGATGGAGAGCGGAGAAAACACGTGGTGAAGGGAGCACTGCAGGCACGGAATGACGAAGGACAGAATCGGTATGGGACCCCGGCATCCAGAGCCAGTGATGCAGATCGGTGCCAGGTCCCACGAGAAGACCTGAAGAGAGTGTACTAGTTTGTTCTGTACAGTTAAGGTGCAAGAGAGAGGGGAGAGAAAGCATCACAGTTACGATTAAATGCAGGAGCTCCTCGTAAGACGAGAAAGTCCACCCAATTTCACTGCGCACTCACTCCTCGGCCTCCTCTGATCCTAGCATGAATGCAAATAACTGATCACCTGGGCTCAGTTTGAAGACTGCAAATGTGTCAGGTGCCACAGGTGGCGGGGCAGGAAGGGAATTAACACTTACTGAGCGCCTACTGTGTGCTCCCGGAGCAGCTGTGGGCATGAAGCTGTGATAATAGCACACTATGTTCCTACTCTCGTGGAGCTGACGCTTTAGTAGGGAGACAGACCATGAACAACAACAACAACAAAAACCGCAAATATAAACAAACGGGAAAGTGCCGAAGAACTAGGAGCACTGAGGTAATTGCTAAGCAGAGCTTTCAAAAGTGGTGACGGGTGTAACAGGGTGCTGTGAAAAGCGCTGAAGGCCTCTCAGTGGAGGTGGCTTTTATGCAGATTCCTGAACCTTAAACGGGTAAGAAGCTGCCACACCCGCCTCAGAAACAGTGTTCCTGACAAAGGGAACGGCAAATGCAGGCTTTTTAACCTCCCTGAAGACCCTTCGAACCTAGCTCACCGAGCTGGATAAATGAGTGTGGCTCGCTAGGCGAGGGGTTCCAGAATGTAAATTCCAGTGCCACCCACCACCTGCGGCACTCGAAGCATTTCTAGTCTCCCAACTGACCCCAAATAATGTTTCTGAGGCCCTTGCTGGAGCCAGGCTATCCACGTTTCATTCATTGCGCTTGGTTCTCCGCTTTCTGGAACCACCCCGGTTGCGAAATGTCTAGGACTGTCTATTTTGGATCTGACAGGCGGCAACGAGGGCGGGAGGATCCCCACAAGGTGCAGAACCAAACCACCGTTATGCTGCTGCTCGTGCTGGCACTTGGAGAACCTTACTAGAGAATATTTAAAATCCAGTGACTTGGCGGATTTTAAATAATAGCCCCCTCCGCCCCCGCACCCGACCAAACGCGGGGTGGATAAACCAGTCTGGCAGGCGCCCGGGGCGAATTGAAGGCGGCACCCTGCTCACGACCGTTGTTTCCCCAATCCTTCTTCCATTCAATAATTCCTCTCTGAGAACGCAGTTCAATCTCTCGTCCCTCCTCCTGCTTCAAGCTCTTTTATTTCTCTGTATTTCTTTTCCTCTCTCCACTTTCCACCCTCACCCCGTTTCATTAGCTTTGTTTGTTCCTGAGGGAGACAAGCCTTAAATCCGAAAGGAAGTTATTTGCATAGGACTTTATTGTAGAAACTAGCATCCTTTTCTTGGCTTTTTCTTCAATTTCTTCCAAATAAAAAAGTCTATTTTTTTTCTATTTGTACTTGAGGCAGTTAATTGCACAGGATGAGAATTACTCATATTCATATTGTGCCTTGCTTCCAAGAAAAAGAGGAATCTTACTGTGTCTTTTCATAGTTTCATTTCCTTTTCTACTCCTAAATAAGCTTCCAGGCTCACCAGCTCCTAAAAACAAAAGTAAAAAATTAAAGTTGACTGCCATGCAGAGCTAATTCTTGAAAAAGCCCTTTATGTCCCCAAATTAGCCTTCTCTTCAGAGTTTAATTTAAAGCAAGGATCTGAATGTTTACTCCAGTGAGACCAATTGTTCTATAGTAAGAGCTTCTAAAGACGCTCTTTGAACTGTTGGACGAATACTTTTTACCTTTGGAGACACACACTACGAGAATTGTTCACACCTGGCCTAATGTTCCTAGCTTCTGAAATTAGTAATAGAAAAGCAGGTGTTAAAAGTATTGACATATTTTAATAGTAAAAGAAGGTGATAATAAAGGAGTTTCATGGAGGTGAGACAGGATGGAAGGGGGCAGGGCATAGCCATTCAAGGAATGCTACAGCAATTAACATCAAAATGGTAAAAGATTCAACCCCCAGTAGGCCTAGAGGCTCAGGATGATGAGAGGTTTAACTTCTAGTAGATCCTGAGCTTCATTATACGTTCATTGTAATACATTAACATGGTGAATAACACGCCCACAGGCACCATGGCAGTCCCGAGGCTAGCCGCAAACAGTCAGAGTGGGAAATGGCCAACTTCCTGGGAATCCCAGCCCCTTCCCCAGGCTGCTTAGACTGGTCCTTCCACTTATTAGCATAGGAAGCCACCAAGCCCGTAAAAACTGGCAACGTAGCACCTCACCACCGCCCTCCTCTTCCTCTTCGGAGACGGCCCACATTCTGTCTATGGAATGTGCACCTACTTTTAATCTGAGCACCCAACCCCCACACCTCGTGGCCTTTTTCTTGCCTTTCAACGTATCTCTCTGAATAAATCTACCTTCACTCAACTATTGCTCGCTCTTGAATTCTTTCCTGCATGAAGCCAAGGACCCACACTTGGCGGGGCACGTCCCAGGGGCTCAACCAAGACCCAGAACACGGCCCTCTTCACACCCCACATCCGTTTTCCTGCATCCGAGGGGGAACTCCAGAGGCCTCCTGATGATGAGGGCGCCTTTATTTTAAGCAAAATGGGGACAGTAATTGTACCTGCTGGGCTACAGGAAGAGTTCCTCATCAGTCTGGAAATGACGTAGCCTAACTCACAGCTTAGTCTCAGCGTTATTAACATTCGGCACCAGATACTTCTTTGTTGTGGTGGGTTGTCCTGTGCAGTTGGCAACATCTGGCCTCTACTCACTAAGTTCAAGGATACCCTCTCTTCCCCACAACCAAAAAGTCGCCAGACATTGCCAGATGTCCCCTGGAGGATAAAATCGCTCCTGGCTAAGTACCGTTAGCCCAACACATGGTAAATGCCCACAGATTAGGAGGCAGTATAGCATAGTGCCTAAAGATAAGGATTTCCAGAATGTAAACCTCAGGCAAATTTTGCTTCCCTAAACCTCATCTACAAAATAGGAATCATGATAATGCTAATTTCTTAAGACTGTCTAAGGGTTAAATAAATTTGTGCATATAAAAACAATTTGGATAATGCCTGGCACATAGTAAACTTAAGGCTGAACTTCTGTTCTCATTTTCTTCTGGTGGAGTGACAGCATTGGACTGGATCATGGATGACATGTCTTGGCTTATTTGCTGCCACTCCCCTCCCTGCCTCATGTCAGACATCACTATGAAGTCAAGGCTGTCATTTACACTGAGCACAAATAAGGCCTCAGAATCCTTCTCAACACAATGCTTCAGGAAGCAACTACTGATGGAGCAGGGTCAGCATGTGGCATGATGCTGAATTACCACACTGAGGCTGCATAAACTTTAAGCGACTTTAAGTTTAAGGTCTTAAAGTCATAAAATTAGAGCATCAGTCTTCTGGAATGGTAACTATAAGCAAACTTGATGAGAAGGAACTGTATGCAGTTCATTACTTCATCAATCTTTTCTATGAAGGAGGGGGAGAGAGTTCCAGCATCTTCACTATAACCATACAGCCTATGAGTGATTAGAGGCTGAGTCTCCTGCCTTCTTACAGTGTTCTCTTTTTGCTACTCCCACCACTGATGGGAGGTGAAGAAAACATGTGTCTGAAAAAATGATGCAACCTCCCCATCCTTACACTTTTGCTCATTTTCATTCCCCTTCACTTTTCTCTGGAAAATAGATCAAAGTATTTAGTTGCATAGGAACACCCTGTAAGCATTCTTGCAGAAGGGTTACTTCTCTGAGGAATGCATGATAACTCACCAATTCCTTCGTTAAACAGAGATCAACTGCCTCCTTTGTAGAAGTAACCATTCTTAGCAGGCATTTTAAGAGATCCAAAGATGAATCAACGGATGTCCCTGCCCTTGATGTTTGTACAGTTTCATATATTGGGCAAATCAGACATGGATATAAATAACTATAATACAAGCTAAAAAAAATTGAAAATGTCCTAAGAAAGGTACCGAAAGTGTGTTCAGAGAAGGGAGAAATTATTTTGGGAATTAGGAGCAGAGAGTCACTTCCTGTGTGTCTTTGTTGACATTCTTAACTTTTTGGTCGAAAATTCTTACTTATTACAATCAAGTTAGCCTCGTAGAGGAAGTTGCAACATCATTCGGCTTCCTGGGTCAGACGCAGCTTTTGTTTAGTTTAAGTGGGTACTGTCAGTGCATCTAAAGGTCACAGTTCATTCTAACTCTATTAGTCATTTTTTGTTAAGTCAATGTTTAAAATTTCTGTAATGTTCTAAATGAAGATTGCTCACCTTTAGTGACAACAGAATAACTTTGTCCAAGCATTGACAGAACCAGTTTTTTAGCATGTTATACTGTGGGAGCATAAGGTATACATATACCTTATATATGATATATATATTATCAAAA